TATATCAGGCAGTAGGTATTCTGATCTTCCATTTAATAATTAAACATTTCATTTTCAGATTTATATACAGCTTATTTATATCTAGGGTATTCATTTTCTCTGTTATGTATCATTACACTGTAAGAATGAACCATGATTTATTTTTAAATAAAAATTACATTTATTTATTTATTCATCCATTTGATTTGTATAGAGGTTTGGGGGGAGTCACTCCATGGCAGGTGGTGTTGTCAGAGGACAACTTGTAGGAGTCCATGCTCTCCTTCTAATATGTGGACCCTGGGGCTCAAACACAGATTATGAGGCTTGGTTTAACCACTCAGTCATCTGGTTGGTCTTTTTTTTTAATTAAAAAGATTTTGTTTCATGTGTGTGTGTGAAGGGGTGTGTATGGTATGCATATGTGTGCATGTGTTCTTACTCGTGCATACTTGTGCAGAGGACAGAGGAAGACACCAGGTACATTGTTCTCTAATTCTCGAGACATGTTCTCTTCACTGAACCTGGAGCAGTTTTTCTGACAGGCTGCTGGCCAATAAGCCCCAGCAATCCTCCCTCCTGTCTCCAACTCCACCAGTAATGCACTTATAGTCAAACACCTGAATTTTTTTATGTGGGTGTTAGGGATTGGAACTCAAGTAATCATGCTTCCACAGCAGCTCTTCTACCCACTGAGTCATCTCCTAGCCCTATGATGTATTTCTTGACAACTGTTGGAGATTTTGGTTTTCACTATAGTGTGTATCTGAAGAACATTATTGAAAAAAACATTACAGAAGAATCCATGTGTTCAATGTGTTAAATATTCTCATTTTTGGTTTTTATTATAGTGTTTATCTGAAGAACAGTATTGAAAACAACGTCATTCCAGAAGAATCTATCTGTTCAATGTGTTGAATATTCTTGTTTCTTGTTGCTCAAAGTGCCATCTATCACTTACTAGTTTAAGCATCACATGGTGTTTTAGTCAGGGTTTTCTAGAAGAGAAGATCAATAAGGTGTGTGTGTGTGTGTGTGTGTGTGTGTGTGTGTGTGTGTGTGTGTGTAAGAGCTTGAGCAAAATTTTTAGGGAAGGCTGGCAGGGTAAAGAGAAAATCAACAGTTACAACTGGAATCTAAATGCAATTTGCTAGCAGAATTATTTTCCTAGTGGAGGTCAGCATTTACTTTCTGCCAGCTTTCAACTGATTAGCTGAAGCTTACCTATATTGTGGATAGTTATACACTTAAGGCCTAGTGATTTAAATGCTATATCATCTAAAAATACATTTGTAACAAACATTCTAGATGTTTGTTCAAATATCAACTTACTGTCTACTACCGAATTTGACATTCAAAAATCAACCATCACACTGGATCCTGTTGTAAATGCAGGTAGGTTGACTACCCCATACTCATACAATCATTACATATACCAAAAATGTCAAGAATAATGACAATAATAAGAGAAAATGATCACTGAAGAGCCTATAAAAACTTACAGCATCAGGGATGATTATCTACAGTTTTATTTCAGTAACTTGAATAATGAAAATGAAATAGATATTAAAGATACCTGTATTATGATTCAATTTATATGAAATATGTGCACACACATAAATGTGAGTATAGGATAAAATTGTTTCATATGACACTAAGTATACAATGACCTGTACAGAAATATTTGCTGCACACACTCTCCCGACTATCCACCTTTCTGGGTAAGCATGTGTGTTATCTCATCAAATATCAATCTCATCAACTTCTCCTAAGGGAAAATTTGCAGAAAACTCTGTGAATGTATACACATACATATGTGTGTCATGCAAAGGAAGGGAAACTTCGGAGTTGGCATTTTATAAAAGGAAGATAGGCCCAAGGAGAATTATGGGAATTGACAGAAAGGTGAAGAAGTAGGGAAGATCAGTGGTGCCTGAGGTGGTCAAGGGAAGAGGCTAAGGATGATGTTGACAGAGGAAAACACTTAGTCCACGCCACAGGTTCCATGGTCATTGTTCACAAGGGACACCAGGCAGCTCAGAGACCTCAAATTGAGCTTAATGCAAGTTCCCAGAACTCACATGGAAGTTAATAACCATCTGTAACTCCAGTTCCAGGGAATCTAATGCCCTCTTCTGACCTCCATGGACATTTCATGACGTGGATGCACCCATCTACATGCAGGCTGTACACTCATACACATAAAATAAAAATAAAAAATTTTTAAAAAAATTGCCAAGTGGCAAGTGGTAGAAAGTTACACCAAATAAAGTGCAGCTGTAACTTGACAACTTGTGGGCCTGCACCAGTTATTGTTTATAGACAAATAATGTGAAAACTCTGTACCACCATTATTTGAATTTCCAAAATTATGCCCGTTCATTGTCTAAAGTACAAGCATTACAGAAATGGAAGAAATTCATGTTTTGGGAAACAAGTTATGCAGATGTCTAGTTCCCCAGTTGCCCAAAATTTAGAACTGCTAATTGCCAGTCTTTGTGTAAGTTTCCATATAACTGATCAAAAAGCAGATCGTGTGCCTCTGTTGCTGTTGGTAGTGAAAGTGGCCCATCCTCACTCAAGAACACGGATATGGAGCACCCTATGTCAGCCCCGTGAGACATGTTTCTGTAGACACGCTGACTCTCCTGACCTTTGACAGGTGCTAATTTTTGTGACACTCCTCGCACAGCACCTTCCAGAGGGGGAGGGGAAGGGAAGACAGAGGTAAGAATGGGGAGAGCTGTGAAAAGGCCGCACTGCCATCCTCCTGTGTGCAAGTCATAAAACAGATCATGGTATGGACTGAGGAAACATTCAAATAGGAAAGAGAAATAAAATGTGTGACCCCTCACTAGCTTACCCTCCTTCTCTGCCTCACTAGCCTGGAGGCACCCCTTGCGAGGCCCTGGTTGTACCAGATCACATGCATGCTTCTGCAAGCCTCCAGTAAAGCATCTGACAGAGTCCAAGGTCTTAAAAGGCTGATTGCAGGAAGGAACATGCATCCTTTGTCATAAGGACTAACCCGTAAATTACTCACAGACACAAACCTGGTAGATCTGCTTAGGAACAGCCAAAAATGAATGTGATAGAAGTAAAAGTACACAGGGACTTTTGGGCCTCGTCTCACTAGCTCATGGCTGGGACAAAAGAAAAGCAATCAAGGACACAATATGCAATGCCATGTTTTAATTATGAAATAAACAGTCCTCTTCAGGTGGAAAATACATGGAGCAATTGGCTCTATAGGTGGTGGGCTTACATGTCTTCAACACCAAGTATGGGTAAGGACTTAGAAACAAAACAGAAAACTAATAACGTGGATGAAGATGAAGACAATATCCAAGATCCTCGCATCATTTATTTGAAGAATTCCTTTGGGATCTTGCCATCAGTCTGGAGGAAAAGATTGGGCTGTCAGAAGAGCTAAGTGTCCTGTGTTTGATCCCTAGGTCACCCAGACTCCACCTTCCTGAAGGCCCAGAGACATTCATCTTTTATGTACTTGATTCCCAGACCTTACCTGGAGTATACTGAAGATCTTAGAAGCTTTGGTGTAGTCCCACTCGTTGTCATCAAGGCACCTGGGGTGTCAGAAGGACAGAAATAATGCAACTTCAAGAGATGCAGAAAAGTCCTCTGACAAAATACAACATCCCTTCATGATAAAAGCCCCATTGAAAGTAGAGGCTAAGGGAACTTTTCTCAACATAATAAAAGCTATATACAGCAACCCTATAGCCAATTATCATGCAAAACAGAGAAAAACTCAAAGCATCTTTATTAAGATCAGGAACAAGTAAGGGGTCTACTCTCTCCACTCCTTTGTGCTTGAAGTTTTAGCTAGAGCAGTAAAAGAGGGAGGTAAGGCAGATACAGTTAGGAAAGGAAGAAGTGAAAATATCCGTTTGCAGATGATATGATTCTATAGCTAAGAGACCCTAAAGGCTTAACCGGAAAACTCAGAATGATAAACACTTTCAGAAAAGTGGCAGGACAAAACAATTAATATACAAAAATTAGTAGTCTTCCAATATAACAATGACAACCATACTGAGAAAGAAATTAGGCAGACAATTACCTTCACAGTAGCCTAAAAAATATCTTGGAATTTAACTAAGGAAGTGAAAGACCTGTACAATGAAAACTTCAAAGCATTGGAGAAAAAAATAGAGGAAAACTCTAGACATTGGAAGGGCCTCCTAGGATCATGGGTCGGAAACAACAGTATTGTGAAAATGACAATACTACCAAAAGCAATCTACAGATTCAGTGCAATCCAGATAAAAATCTGCATCTTCATCCTTCATAGAAATAGGAAAAACAATCCAAAAATTTATTTGGAAACTCAAAAGTCCCCACACAGACAAAGGAATTCTGAGCAACAACAATACTGCTGTAGGTATTACCATACCTGATTTCAAGTTATAGTAACAGAACCAAAATAACTAACAGCATGGTATTGGTGCAAAAACTTGACACATAGATCAATGGAATAAAATGGAAGACCTAAATATCAATCCATGCAATTCCAGTTACCTGATATTTTTGACAAAGAGGTAAAAAATGCACATGGAGAAAAGACAACCTCTGTAACAAATGACCCCAGAAAAACTGGATATCCATATGTAGAAAAATAAAACAACATACTTCTCTTGCACCCTGTACAAAAACCAACTCCAGTGTTGGTTGTGGTGGTGCATGCCTTTAATACCAGCAGAGGCAGATGGAGCTCTGTGAGATCGAGGTCAGTCTGGTCTACATAGCAAGTTCCAGGCCAGTTGTGACTACAAGGAGACCCTGACTCGAAAAAAAAAAAACCAAAACCAAAACAACAACAACAAAAACTCCAAATGGATCAAGGACCTTAACATACAACCTGAAATTTTGAAACTATAAGAGGAAAAAGTAGGGAGCAGACTACAAGATATAAGCATAAGTGAGGACCTTTTACACAGCACTCCAGTAACTCAGGAAATAAGACAAACAATTGAGAAAAGGTACAAAGAAGAAAGTATCTGCTAGCTATACATCTGACAGAGGATTAATATCTTGAAATCTTGAATTCATAAAGAACTCAAAAGGAAATTAAGCATCAAGAAAACAATTCAATTTAAAATGGGCTTTGGGAGCTGGACAGATAGCTCAGTGGTTAAGAGCACTGGTTACTCTTGCAGAGAACTTGGGTTCAATTCTCAGCACCCACATGGCAGCTAACAACCATCTGTAACTCCAGTTCCAGGGGAATTTGACACCTTCTTCTGTCCTCTGCAGGTATTGCGGGACATGGGTGCACTTACATACGTGTAGGCAATACATTAATACACATAATAAAAATAATAAATAAAACATTAAAAGATGGGTTTTTGTATGGAATAGAGAAGTCTCAAAAGAAATATTAGTGACTAATAAATATTTTAAAACTGTTCCCACACCATTAGCCATCAGTGAAATGAAATTACAGCTACTGAGATTCCATCTCACCTCAGTGAGAATGATTATTATAAAAAAAAATTCAAAAACCAGCAGGTGCTGGTGAGGCTGCAGGGAAAGAGGAAGCTTTATTCACTGTAGGCTGGTATAGACATCATGGAACTCAGTTTGGAGGTTTCTCAAAAATTGCAAAAGAAATTCCATAAGTTCCATTCACACCACTCCTGGGCATATACCCAAAGAACTCCATAACCTACAACAGCAATATCTACACATTGATGTTCACCACAGCTCTATTCACAATGACTAGGAAATGGAATCAGTCTAAATGTCTATTGCTGAATGGATAATTAAAATTTGATACATACACAATGGAATTCCATTTAGTTGTGAAAAACAAAACAGAAAATTTCAGGAAAATGGATGTAACAGATTAGATAGAAAGATAGATAGATAGATAGATGATAGATGATAGAGAGATGATAGATAGACGATAGAGAGATGATAGATAAATAGATGATAGATACATAGAGATGATAGATGATAGATAGATAGATAGATGATAGAGAGATGATAGATAGATGATAGATAGATAGATAGACGATAGAGAGATGATAAATAGATGATAGATACATAGAGATGATAGATGATAGATAGATAATAGATAAATAGATAGATGATAGATAGATGATAGATAGATGATAGATGATAGATAGATAGGTAGATAGATAGATAGATAGATAGATAGATAGATAGATAGATAGATAAAACTTACAGCCTGAGGTAGTCCAGACCCAGAAAGACAAATGCTGTATGTTTTCTTTCATGTGATCCTAGCTTTGAATTTAGATTTCTGTATTTAAATTTGAGTGAGTGCCCATGGAGGTTAGGAAGCAAAAAAGGAGTCATGGTGGTGGTGGGGTTAAGAGGGTAGAGAAAGCAATTTTCCTGATAAAAACAATTAAAAACCCCAACAGAAATATTTTTTGAGTGTCTGTTAAATGTATTGAAATGTTTCTTTGTTTTTTCTTTGTGCTCGCTGAGCTTCCTTAAAGCAAGTATTTTAAAAATATTTTCTATCTGGGTGCCAGCCTAACTGATGACTGGCTGGTCAGTTTCCAGTAGCATTTTATTCTGAGTACTAGGTGAGTTCATTTCTTTTTGCTTTCTTGTGTGTGTGTGTGTGTGTGTGTGATTATTTTTTATTGAGCTTTTTCAATTTCATACATTTCCCACTCAAATCCAGACCCCCTCCCCCATCCATACCTTTCCCTATTCCCCCACTTTGCCATACATGCTGACTGGATGGGCTGACTAGACTCAAGTGGATGCATTTACACTGAAGGACATTCGGGTATAAACACCAGCTGAATGAATAGGTGAGTTCATTCCTTTTCTAAAAATTCTTGTTCTCTGTTGACATGTGACACCATTTAGTCATTGAGTGATCATTTATTCCTGTCTTGCTAAGGTAACTCTTCCAGTGTCAGTCTTTCTAGAAATTCTAAGCGGACTGCTTACTTTCTCTAAACCTATAGTCCTGTCCAACAGTTCAGTACTATATTACACCTAATTATTTGGCAGGAGTCTCCTGCTGATATGTTGTTGCTGTTTCTAATACTGGAGGTCAATCAAAGCTCAAGTTTGTCCCAAATACTCTGTTATTATGTTGTTCAGAAAGAATCATGAGAGTACCTAGAAAGTAATCTAATACCTACAGGCCCTTTCCTGGAGGCAGAGTAGGTAGGCCTGAATGTCTCATCCTTATTTACTGGCCTGTGGTATGATACTGCAAGATTCAGTCCAGCTTTGGGTAGTCACTAAGAATGGGCCAGCCTCAAGTTCTTGGGTCATGCTTATTACTACCAATCCACCGAGATGTGCTACACTCTGATCCAACAGTCCACTAAAACCAGCACAACACTGTCTTAGGATTAAAACTCCAAGCCCTACGCTTCTACAGGTTGCCCTGTTGTGGTGGACTCATAGTCCAAGGTCGCTACAGTCAAACACAGGTGATGCTAGCTGTAACAGAAAGCTGATACATTTGGACAACATGTCTTCCAATGGCACTGGATATGTTTCTGAGCCTCCATCAATAGGCAAGCCAGGAGGTGAGAGCTCCCCAGTGGTGGGTTTAACTAGCACAGCAGTAAGTTCCAGAAAATTCTTACGCTTCTTACTCTTGGCTTACCCTGAAATGAATGGAGTCTCATTTATACCACATTGCTGTTTGAGGTTGGGATAGTGTCAGGGAAGAAACTACATAGGCTGCCTAGGCTGATGCTGAGCTGGGATCTGCCTGAGCCTAACAGTTACAAGGCCCTGCACAGTCTAAAGGACATGTTGAAGCCCCTACCACAGTTTGTGGTAATAAAGGTTGAAGCATAAGTGTGTCTTACTGTGGTGCAACTCTCTGCCTGGAACCTCAGCTGATAAAGAATTCTTTCTATGAGCACTGGCCTGGTAATAACTGTGTTGCCTAAGATTGAGTGATGAATAAAGAAACAGGCCCTTGTTGATCAAGGCTAGTGCTAACCTGCTAGTCTCAGAGCCTCAGATACTTGTTTGTATTGTCTTGGTACTTGGAAAGTGTTCCTAGCCTTACTACTCCATGGCTGAAACTTATGTTGTCAAATTTGGGTCTGTTCCACAGTATAGGTCTCCATTTGATGGCAGAGCCAATTTATAAGTTCCCTCAGAGAGCTCTGTCCTATGTGTAAGCCTTTCAGTTTCTACTGTGAAGTTGGTTGCCCCATGTTGGGCCTGGCGCTGAACAACTTTCATGCTCTGCTTCTGAGCGTGTAGATCCCTGTCACTCTGTCACTGCAGGCTGGAAGAAGGGTGATAATAGCAGTGTTTCTGTCTCCTGCACTAATGCACCTCAGTCATGATATACTGACATGGTGTTAGGAAGTGTGGGGCTCTGCCCAGCACTGGGTTTTGCTGAATCAGGCTTGGACTCCCCCTCCTCCAAGTGATGTAGTTATATGGGTGGCATGGACAACCCTTTCCCCCCCTCTCTTCAATCATTTTGTTATATTAAAAACAGGCACCGTGGTCTGTCACCTGATAGCCTGAGCTGTTTTCCTGAGGCAGAATACTGTTCAACTGTATCTATGAAGAGATATTGCTGGGAAACTTTTTATTCAACTGTCATAGTAATCTGCTTCCCAATCTCTCAATTGCTTTTCATTATTTATTTTGTTTTATGCTTCGATAAATAAACTGTTTTCTTAATATCATTTTTGCATTGTTCAATACTAGTACACAGAAATACAATATTTTATATGAAATTTATATCCTGAAAACTTGATTTGTTTTTCACTTTGAATAGTTTTTTAGTGGATTCCTAAGATTTTTCACACACAAGATATGCCACATGAATATTACAGTGTTTTAATCTTTAGAACTATTAGTACAAATTAGGACAAACTTTCATGCACCCACTTTGGGTAAGGGAAGTAAAGTACAGAATTTTTTTCATGTCACCTGAAAGTCACCATTATTCACTTACCTTCTTTTCTATTCCATTTCTGTGCATACCCAATACTCACTTTTGAGAATACTCAAGTTTCATCCCAGACTGTTCAGAGAAAGACTTCACCATTTCCTGATGCTTTTCAGAGAGTGTAGACTTGGGGAGAGAAGGGGAGACTGTGGGCAATGGGATGAACGGTTTCTGGATCTCTCTAGGACTGGAATTCCTCAAAATCATCTTATCATTAATGATGTACATACTGGAGGAAAAATGGACCCTCAGTCAGCATACATTACTAAAGCCAACACTACACTAACTGCCAATCAGTAGCCAGATGCTTTCCATATTCCAACTGTGCCTGGCTTCCCATATACCAACTTCCTTGTCTGGTTCACTTTGCCTATCCTACAAAGTCCCCCTCTGGAAAGACTATCTACCAGCTTGACTAGATTTGTGAATTTTACCCCAATTTTACACTACACAATAGAGAAAGACCCTGAGTCAGAGTTAAGCCATGCATCTTGACCAGTGTCACAGTACATTTGAGGATCTCATCAGGAAAGAATCTAGTATTCTGATCCTACGGTCTACATGCTTAACTGACAGGCTAAACTGCTTGTTTACCTGTTGGCCTTCCACAATCTTGAGAATAACCCCCAAGAACTGCACTATCACATTGTCACACTGCTGGATGCAAGCTGGGATGTGAGTTCCCATGTACAACACAGCACTGACCTTGAACTGCTTTTAGGGACGGTGACGAAGGTTCTCGTGAAGGCACGGACACATCCCTGATATTTTCCTTCCACTTCAAGGACAAGGAAAAAACAATACCTTCTTAAAATTGCACACACTTTACACACGCATGCAGCAATTCACAGCCAGGATCTTTGATGAAGGGACCCAGGATCAGACAGTTGTTAGCTTGGAGTCAAGAGGGTGTTGCAGGAATTTGGAAGACAAAAAATAGGAATAGTCCACTTCCAGTAAGGGGATCCCCTAACACATTTTTGAACCCTGTGAAAAATCACTTTCAGTGTTTGCTTGTTCTCTGTTTCACATCTGTCACAGAGATGAGTTAATTACTCCCATTTCGCAAATAGAGAAATGGAGAGGTTAAGGAGCACAAAGAGACAGAGTAAGAAATTGGAATGAGAGCCAATTAACTCCATAGCCTGTGTCCATTACGGGTGAGCTGTGGGGACACAGACACAGACCTGAGTCAAAATAGATTAGTTTGTAGGCAGGAGAACACAGGGTAAGATAGCAAGAGAAGGCACAGTTGAGAGAATAATTACAGGGTGTACATCCAGGGGAGGGAGTAGTAGATCTGGAGAGGGGATTCTACAGACACTCACCTTCCTTGAATACCCCATTCACAGAAAAACATAGCATTACTTCCTGAAAGGGAAGAGGCACAAGCTCAGGATCTTACATACATTCAGCTTTCTGGGCATGCCCTACAGGCAGACCAGGTGCTCACCGTGCACAAAGACATGTCCACCCAGAAGGAGTAGAAATCATGCTGAGTTTTGGGCAATGTGCTAAGGGAATCCACGATGGCACGGTTCGTGTGCTTCAGTAACTTCATTCGAGTATCTACAGAGAAGTGAAGAAACGAACACCAGGGCAATGACACAACCAGGTCTTTGACCTCTATAATTGTCCCTTTTATCCCTTACCCTGCCCAGTCTTCAATATCACACACTTACATGAGTCTTTTAACTTTATTAAATCTCTGTTATGCTTGAAGTATTCTTCCAAGTTGCTCCTAGGAGAAAAAGGGGGACAAGACATGGTGGTTCAGGCAGTATTCCAGAACAGAGCTCGAGCTGTGATACTTACAGGTCTGAGTCACAAGAGTTGAAAGGAATGGTCAGGGAGAAGCAGGCCTCATCATGGTAAGCAGAGAGGAGACCATGTCGATCTCCACTGTCATAAATCGAGTAGTATCTGGAGAGGGACAAAAGAAAGGGACAGGCTATCTCTGTGGTCTGAATTCCAAATGAGACCTGAAAACTCCTACAGGCAAACCTGTGCTAAGGTGCTCCAGCCTGGTTCAAGCCTCCCCCTCTCAGGGTCCAAATGGGTACTTACTCCTTCAGGAATTGTACAACTAGATCCCTTATGATCTCAGGTTCTTTATAGCTTTCCTAGAATATAGACAGTCATTTCAGACTATGTATCTAATACAGTCTCCTTTGTAACACCACAGATCTCTCTAGGTCATTCTTTCTCACCTTTCTTAATTGGGGGTTTTCATTGTTCATTACAGTTTGTGATAGTAACTCTTTGCCATCCTGAGGAAAGGAAGAGAGGGTTAGCAGTGCAGAGCAAGACACTGGGTGTCCAAGATGATGAAGAGACCAAAGGGGAAATACGGGTCAGAGATGGAGTTTTAAGTGGCCCTGGAAATATCTGAGGTGACACAGATGAGGTTCTGTTTGACAGTGTCTTGAAAATATTATATGTAACCTCTGTGTGTCTGTGTCTTATGAACACTTGTCCAGGGATAATAGTGATGTCTTTTCCAGGAATCCATGTCATTTAAAATGGATGATGGTTTGATGGAAACATGTAATCTATATGCAATACGAAGAGTACTAGGGCAGATGTGAAGGTCATTTATGTGAGGAAGAGGAGACAATGATAAAGATAGGAACTTACCAGGCGTATCAATGTGGGGAACTGGTCTCGGATGGCACTGTTCAAAAACCAAAAGCTCTTAGAAGTGATTAGCAGTTCACATTTGGACAGCATTTCTCCCCACTGGGGCTTTCTCTTGTTCCCCTCCCTCTCTTCCTCCTTGATTAGTTTCATCCACACTTCACCAGCCCCAGTAGTTCTCCAGAACCACGAAAGGCCACACTGGGGACCCAGTCTCCAGGGCTTCTTTCTCCTCCCTTCCTCCATTCCATTCCTCAGAGTCTTCACAGAAGGCTCTATAGGAAGCAGGGCATTGAGTAGGGGGTCCAACTCTCTACCGCCTTCCTAGGTGTCAAGCATTCTGTAGGATGCTGAGACAAGGAAGTTAAGGAGTCAGGACTCAGGAAGCAGGAAGAAGACAGCAGGATGATGGCAACAGAAAGGGAATGAAAAAATGTGTGTGAAAGTCATAGTGTAGTAGAGACAAAGCAGAAAGACAAAACAACAAAAAGGGGATGGGTGATGCTCTGTCTAGCTCAGGAGTAATAGAGAAGAAAAAGGTTCCCTTGTTGCTGCCCTTTCCTTCACCTGCCTCTGACTGCTTCTGGGACCAAAGTAGGAATGGAAGCATGCGCTTTATAGGGCTGGGTCCCACTAAATGCAGGCTCATATCATTCTCCCTGCTTGGTTGAGTCTGAGGACAGTGAGCCTCCTTGGGAGCAGAAGCTATTCCCAGAAGCAGAAGAAGTGAAAGGCAACTCTCTAGCACAGCATGGGATAGAGGCATGTGACCATCTCTTATGGTCACTTTGTACTCTCCTGAACGTTTCTGTGCATCTGTGCCTAGCTGAGTCTGGGAATTTTGTCCAAGGAATTAATTTGTTTGTCTCAAGCTACACATGGATCTTCTTAAATATCAAGCAGGAGGATGATGAATTGGTAAGTAGGTAGAGAAGGATGTAGGCCACTGGGAGACTTGTCATTCGGTCTCTTCAACCTTGTCTGCCCTCTGCCTACCCCTCCTGTTCCAAGAAGCCCTCTACTCCCTGGTGGTGTTTCACTTCTGGATTTTTGATCCAGGGAACCCAGGTCTCTCCACCACCCTCAGGGAGGGTAGAGCTCCACACAAAGTGATATCTATGTCAGCATCACCCAGAACTTTAGCCCTCAGCCTTGGGCAGGTCAGCCTCCAGGGAAGCCTGGGACAAATGAGGGAACAATTCAGGAATAACAACAGATAGGGGAGGAAGGCTGGTGCCACTGGAATTAGTCATGGGATGCCTTCCTGGAGTAATCCAGACGTTCAGGCAAGTGAAGACAGGCCAGATCAGGTGAAAGAGAGGAGCAGGTCAGAAGGAAAGGTGGCCTGAAAGAACAGCTGAGCACACCAAGGAGAAGGCAGGGCCTGTTTTCCTCCCAGAGGATCAAAGGTGCCTAGTCTTGCAGAAGTGAACAACAGGAGTAGCTCAAGGTAACAGCGGGTGATGGTGAATGTGATGGTGAGTTTTAATTATTACTTGACCCAATGTAGAATAACCTGGAAATGGAGTCTCAGTGAGGAATTGTCTACATTAAGTTGGCTAGTGGGCATGTCTGTGAGGGAGTTTCTTTTGTTTTTATTTATTTTTTTTATTTTATGTATATGAGTGCATTGCCTGCATGTGTGTACATGCACCCATGTTGTTCAATGCCCGCAGAGGACAGAAGAGGCCATTGGACCCCTAGAATTGGAGTTAGCACCATGTGGGTGTTGGGATTCAAAGCCAGGCAGGTCTTCTATAAGAACAGCCAGTGTTCTTACCCGTGAGCTATCTCTCCAGCCTCGTAAGGGAGTTTCTTTATTGGGTTAATTGAAATAGGAAGACCCACTAGAATGTGGGCAGCACCATTTCATGGGCTGAGCCCTGGACTGAATGAAAAGGAGATGGCGAGCTGAGCACTAGCATGCATGCATTAATTCACTGCTCTGCATGCATGCATTAATTCACTGCTCTCTGCCCTTGACTGTGGATATGAAGTGATCAGTTGCTTCAAGTTCCTGCCACCTTGACTTACAGCAATGATAGACTATAACCTGCAGCTGTGAGCTAAATAAACCCTTTCTGCCTTATGCTGTTTTTGTCAGGGTATTTTCATAACAGCAGTAGGAAACAAATCTAAGACAGTGACCATGGAAGGGAAAAGATCTTAGTAGGTATTATGTACCTTGCATAGGCAGATTCATTTTGGAAAGTTCTGCACAAGGGATTCCCTTCTAACCACAGCTCTTCCAGCTTCAGTTCTTTCACTTTCTCCAACTCCGAGACTGACCTCAGCTAAGAAAGATGGGATAGAATTTGTAAATCTTTTACAAGGAAAAAGAGACACTGGGGCATAGAAAGTACAGCCCCCATCCTCACCTACTGGTACCTTTGCCTGCCTCCTACCATCATCCTGGTGTGTACTTCAACCCACCCTTAAGCAAAATCTCATCTGGCTTCCCCTTCTCACTTTATTTTTGGAGAGGTTCAGGATCTTGACTTGAGGTGCCTTCTCTACCACCTCAGACAGCCCATCCAGCTGGTACAGTTTGTTGTTGCACAAGTTCAAGGACAACAGCTTGTGGGGAGGAAGAGTTAGAGTTATGATTACTATTCTTCTGCCTTGGAGACCAATATTCCCTGTATTCCAACCTTTATAGCTCTGTATTTAAATAATAATACTTGGTCTATGGCCTCACCTCAGGGATATTGCTTTGAATAATCTGCAGTGTAGCATTCATGCAGCATCTCCGATTCAACATCATGTCAATATCACAGCTCATCAAGTCTTCAGAAAATGGAATAAAATGAATCAGAAGGCTGTCAGAGGTCCATTTGTACTGATGTACAGACAAATCTCGTCCCCACGTTTCCACCTTATTATGTTTTCCTCTCAAAAAGATCCATCTACCTTTACATGTCCTAGAATCACTTGAGTCAGTTATACCTCGGTCAAAGCGGAACTTTCGGAGATCCAGAGATTTCTGGGAGACATCATACCGCTTCATCATGGTCAACTGTAGAGACAGAGATGGAGAGAGTGGCTCTGAGGCTCTGGAGAACATGGTTTCAGGAATTTAGGAGTGATGGGAAAAAGAAATGGGCCTGAGAAGTGGATGCACAACATGCCTTGAGTCTGCATTACCTTTATCTGTTCCATTTGTTTTGGTGTGAAATAACTCTTCACAGAGTAGGGTACAATAGAAGGTCTGACAAAGATAATTATCTGTGAGAAAGAAAGGCAGAGTAAGTATCAAGACCTCGAATTTCTAAGATGATGCCCAACCCCTGGCTAATCCCCACTCATACCAGGACTAGGTACAGAGAATGCCTCTAGCACACACCTTTTGGTTTTCCTCATCACAAATCTTGAGGCTGGCGTCCTTTAATGCAGAGGCAGTGCTAGCATCCTGAACAAAGAACCGGGCCTGGTTTTTGTCATAGTGGAACTACAGGCATGGAAACGTGGAAGCAAACATGTTAGGAGCCAACAGTTGCTGCTAAGCCAGGCATCTCACCCTCCATCCCCCTGTTCACCATCCTCCCTTACATCGACGGGGGTGAAGGGCACACTGCAGATGCTCATGATTGAATTCATTAGCCATGTCTTGTCATAGTTTCTTCCACTTGGAATCTAAATTTACAAATAAGAAATAAGAAAGAGAGACAACATGGAATTAGGATGGAGGACAGACCTAATCAAGTGCTATTTCCTGGCCCTCTATCTAGCTTCAAAGAACTATGAAGAGGATCTCTAACATGGTTCCTTGTTTTTGTGCCAAGAACAGATCTCCTGGATCCACTCTCTATCCATGCCCTAGTGCTTTTACAGGCAACCAACTTATTGTATTCAATATGATCTTTCTTCTTTCAGGTTCCAGAACATTCTCTGTAATCCAGACTTTGTTCAGACACTCACTGTGACCTTGAACCAGCTCTCACGGGTTCCATTTTGAGCATTGTAACTCATTTTACTCTCTTTGTGTTTTCTATCATCCCACGCAGAAAGAAAGGTTCTATCATCATCATTCCATCTTCTTTTCTTCTTATTGAGCCCCACGGCATAAGGAGCTCTGCATAAGGGAAAGAAATAAGGTGTCTATAAATGTTATATAGTCTTCTATGAACCTTCCTCTCACTAACACCACCAGGGTAACAATTAGGACTGCCTAACCAGTATTCGTCCCTTATCATTCTTCAGAGTGAAAGAGTTGCACAGTCCCAGTGGCTTCCTACAAACCATGCTACTTGGTAACTTTTACTATGTTACTTAGGAGTCCTCATGGATATCACTTATTACAATATTTCCATCATTTTCTTGGAATTAAAAGTGGAAGCACATACCCAGTATGCTCAAAATTATAGTCCTTCCTGTCAAATTTATGCCAGGTATAATTTCTGCCCCTTTGTTGAAAAACTCTCCTGTTATCCATGGAGTATTCTGAAATTGGAAAGAATACAAGTTTAAAAACACACCAACAGTCTGCTTACCACATACCACCTCATGAACTAGCCGTTCGGTAGCAAGCAAAGTGCTAACTTGCCCACAAAACCAATCACACAAACCTCAGAAATCAAACTCCCGCCAGTCCAGATATGAGAGAGCCTTATCTCACAGTTGGCACCATCAGAATAGTTTTCAAGAGGAAGCAACCATGTTGAAAATTTTAAAGAGTGGAGCAAGACTTGTAATGAGCATGGAAGTCTGTGCATGTAAATTAGACTACGTACCAGTCAATTACCAGGAAGCTATCTGAACCTTGCCTTCTGTCAGGATTTTCTAATAGCTACAGAGAGATCTGGGAGGTAACTTCTCTCACTTTCCAAATCCTGTCAGCCACTGAACTGTCTCTGTGGATAGTCAGTAAGTTGTACTTTCTTTGCTGGTGAAGTACAAGCTTTATTGACAGCAGGGACTGATGCAATAGTCTATTAAACAGTCTCTGAGTTTCACACTTCCCTTCCATATCACTCAGATTGAGCTATCCAGAGCACGCTTCTTCTCTATGACCCTACAATGTTTTCCACCCAGGGGACAACTCTTTATAAATCCAGGTCTTCTATAACAAGGATCTGAACCACAGACTAGGATGATAAGCTCTAACCACAATTTCCAAGTGCTTAGAGATTTTTCCTGTTATCCTTGTCATTGATTTCTAGTTTGACTCCCATTATGGTCAGGGAACATACTCTGTGGGATTTCAGGGCAGAGCGTGATCAAACTATATGATATACTTGAAAGAAAATGTTTATGAAATGCATCACTACGTACAATGAATATCCATATAGTGTTGAAAGAAGAAGAGTGGTTTGAAAGAACAGTTATGTTTTTGTAGTTATGCTTTACTTGCATAAAGGTATGCTTATAGGTAAGCTGTGGTTTTGTGAGGCATTTGGCAAGGCAGTACACTATTCTTGCTGATCCAATATTCAGTATAACAGAAAAAGTTCTTATCAATAATCAGATGAGAGTATCTTCTCTGTAATTAAAAAAAGCTGCATTACTTTCCACAATTCACCCAGCTTCTTCTGATCTCAGATTCCTCACAAGTTAAAAAAAATAGGAATCAGGGCTAACTACCCATTTATTTTTCTTTTCAGAAGGCATTTTGAACTAGGAAGGGGTTATATGTCTATAATCCCCAAACCTGAAAGGCTAAGGCAGGTGTGTGTTGAGTTGCAGCCAGCCAAAACTGAATAAGTTGTTCCAATCAGGAAAAAGAAATTCTGAGGGGGAAGAGGAAGACTGCAGTTGAGAAAGATCTTGCAGTGAAAACTCCTATGGACACAACAAATGAAACCAATTACTCAGGCACAAAACTACTAGAACAAAAGTTAAAATAATTAGGTGAGAGACCACAGTGCTTGCCTTTAGTGTAATAGCACAATAAAAAAGATGCAGTGAAGAAGGCAAGGAGGAAAACGTCTATAACCATTCTCCCTCAAAGTCCAAGAAGCTCAGAATGGAGAGGGATGTTTCATAACTGGAGGAGACAGAGAATTAAGTTCAGACCTTACACTTGAAGCACTATATCAAGCCTGTTTCCTCAAAACCTACTGTTGGATAAAGCCCCACAGCTCCTACCACAAAGCTATTTATTCCCATCTTGAGATTTGAGAATGGTATTAAGCTACAAAGCAGGGCTATCTCAACTATCTCTTCTCCATCATCTATCTAGAGGCAGAAGGGGTACAGAAACTGATCTGTAGGTAACAGCATGAAAGCTTGCTTAGGGCCACTGCCAGCATACAAGTACCAAAACTTACCATGTAAAGAGCCATTAAACTTGCTCCAGCACAAGGTGGACACTTAGGCACTTTCGGGACAGTCCTGAGTTTTTAAGATTATTTATTTTTATTTTATGTGTATCAATATTTGCTCACATGTATATATGTGAACTTTATGTATGCCTGGTGTCCACTGAGGCCAGAAGTCAATGTTGGATCCCTTGAAACTGGAGATATGAATGGTTATGGGCTGCCATTATGGTTCTGGGAACTGAGCAGTAAGTGCTCTTAATTTCTGAGTCAGCCAGAATTGGGTCTGGGAAGCACTCGGCTGTTTATATACTGAGACTGCAGGCCACTGCAGCCATAAACTCAAAGGTGATCCAGTTTAGCACTATCCTTGGCCAATGGACAGCCTCCACTACCTGACTCCTAATTTGGGGTAGCATAGTTATCACCAGGCCACTATTGATACTGAACAGAAGCTAATGTCTCTCATTTCTAGGCCGGAGTGCTTTTCAAGCCTCTGAAACATCTCTAGTGCCACAAGAAGACCCGGCCTCTATCTGATGGAATTATTTTCCAGCTAGCATCACCTGGGGCTGTTTGCAGCAGTTATTCAGGCTGATTATAGGGCCATGAGTCAAATTAAACAATGAACAGCTCATAGGAGTATGAATCTTGGTCACAACTCATGGTTTTGCTGGTCTTGGTGGGCTGTGGACTCAAGAGTATGGTATGATACAGTTTGGTGGGTTTAGTGGACGTGCTGGGCCATCTATGGTGACTGTACTCAGAACGAGGCAGAATTTTTTAATCTCTGACTCAGACCTACTGAATATGGACCTAGCCCCAGGGAAAAACTCCTTTAGGTAACTATATCTTTTTGTCCTGAACAATGTAATAATCATCTTCAGAATTAACCTGGGATGGATTGTTCTCCAATACTGAAAGATTGGCAACCCACAAATAACAAATTCCAGGCAAATTAAGACTTGGGCACCACCTAGTAAGTACACAAATACTGGAAATGATGACTATAGGCTTAGAGAAAATATGCTATCTACTTAGGATTTCTGAAAAGACTGGCAGAAAGGCAGGACCAAAGATCTGATCCTTCATTGCACAGACAATCTCATATGCTAACAAATACTAAGAACTTTCAGGAAACCATGAATTCACTTAATACTCAAAGTAAGATTTCAGAAGCTGAATGGACAGTAATCAGTAAAGGAAATTTTATAATTAAAATACTTTTTCTAAGAAAAGAAGGGCACAGTTTCTTTAGAAAAAGCAGAGAAATATTTTAATATTCTATCAGAGAAGTTTAAGGATGTGTAAGCAATTACAAACACCAAACAAAACTTTTTTTCTTCCCTCTCTTCAGCCTTCCTGTTTTTGTTTTTGTTTTGTCTTTTTGAGACAGGTTCTCTCTGAAGCCCTATCAGGCCTGCAACTTACTATGTAGATCAGGCTGGCCTTGAGCTCAGAGTTCATCCTGCCTGTGCCTCCCAAGTGCTCTCACGCCTGCCCCCCTGCATGTTTATTTTAAACCCTTAAGTACAAGATCAAGGAGTATATTGGAATCAAAAGAGAGATTCTAAGAGCATCAGAAATCACAAAGAAGGTGATAGAACACTAGAAAAGTACAGAAAAAAAGAAAGACAATGCTGGAATAAGGAATTGGCAGCAATACCGCTCTAAGTACACTTGCCCAGTTGTGTGTGTGTGTGTGTGTGTGTGTGTGTGTGTGTGAATACGAAAGTCTAATTTAATGTATTTTAAGAAGTTTTTATGGTATTACTTTTAGTTGTTTTGCATTTATCTAGCTTTGTTTGCACATTTTTCTTCAGTATTCAGCCTTTAAAACTCTCTTGCTCCCTTTTCCTCCTCTTCCTAATATTCATCTCATCTTTCCCCCTTTGTAAAATTTAGTCTTGATTCTCTTTTCTTCTTCAAATTTCCTTGCCCCAAATGAATCCACAGATAGTCATTCCAACAGATGACAAATAATAGCACACAAACGCAAGAAACATGAAAATTCAAGGTAACATTATTGTTCTAAAAGATAAATGAATTCAAAGAGGATACAAGCAAGCAGATGAATGAAGTTAGGAAGTTAATTCAGGAACCAGATAAGAAAGCCAATGAAATAAATTAGAAACTCAGTCAGGAAATTGAGATTTTTTTTTTAAATTAGAGAAGCATTTCATTACAACAGCATTAACCTATTCAATAACATTTTTCTGAGCTAGGGTACATCTCTTTCAAAATTGGCTGTACATTTTTAGGTTTACAGATGGATTATTATGCTCGTACAATCTTTTACTCATTATAAACTCTATAAGACATAAAATTAAATGAGGTTTTAACGTTTAAAAAAGATCTCCACTTCGTTGTTAAAATACACAGTTTCATACAGAAAAATTCATTTTAAGGCAATTGACATTGAGACGTTTTCACATGCATTTCTAATCTCTATATATATGACTATTACTGGTCACAGTCGCTTACTTTCTGAGTTCCTTGGCATCTGAGTATGAATATAAACTCGTCAGATAGACAGCCTTACTCTCCCACTAGAGCCTCCATACTCTGTCATCCCTGCCACTGTCCACTGTGTTGTCAGGACCCCCATCTATTCCCCCCATCTGCCCTTCTGGTAAATCCAGTCAGCCAGAGGTCCCTGCTCCAGGAGGATCAGCGGTTCCTCATCTACGGCAATCCATTGTCAGTATTCCTTTGGATAGAATTGGGGTCTGCTGTTCATTTTTCCAGTAGTATGTTCAGAAATATTGAAAATGAAAATATCAATGAATGAAATAAAAATACAATGGAAAACTTCACCAATATGCCAAATCCAGCAGAAGAAATAATATCAGGAATGAAAGAAAAGTTTACAGAACTTTTACATTCAGTCACCAGTAAAGGAAACTAAAGAAAAGAGCTCCTGGAGAGGTGGCTCAGTGGTTATGAGCACTGGCTGTTCTTGCAGAGGATCCAGGTTCGAAACCAGGCACCCACATGGTGGCTAACAACTGCCCATAACTCCAGTTCCAGGGGATTTGATGCTCTGTTCTGTCCTTCATGGACACTGCACAAAACGGATGCACTTATAGACATGCAGGCAAAACACTTGTACACATAAAATAAAAATAAATAAATTTTTAAAACTTAAAAAAGAAGACAGAAAATTGCCATAACTTTCAAGAA